TATTTGTAGACATTTTTTTTTTTGGTCCATACTTTGTCCCATGCTTTCTAGAGAGACTGGAAGGGAGGAAGGGAGAGAGGACTAGAGGGAGAGAGGGGAAAGAGAAAAAGAGATGGAGAGAGAGAGAGAGAGAGAGAGAAGGAGGGAAGGAGGGAGGGAGGGAGGGAGGGAGGGAGGGAGGGAGGGAGGGAGGGAGAGAAGCATCAATGTGAAAGAGACCCACTTCCATGCTCACTGACGCAAGCCAGGGATCAAACCTGCAACATAGGCACATGCTCCCGACCGGTAATCAAACCCGCAACCCCTCAGCGTGCGGGAGGACACTCCAACCACTGAGCACACCTTTTACATTTTAAGAAGGCTGTGTACGCCCACAGGGAATTATTTTCAGGGTTTCAAAGTACCCTTCAGGGATTGACCCGGCCAAGTGAAGGTGTGTCCCCTGTGCAGCTCTTGGCTTGCCAAGGCGTTTGTGACATAGGGGGTCATGGTTGATGTTGATGTCTGTTTGGCCAAATGGGATCCCAGTGAATCCACTTGACTTTTGGCCGTGGTTTAACCACTTCCAAGGACATTGTGTCTACCCACTAACTGTTCAGTAGTTTAACCACTTCCAAGGACATTGTGTCTACCCACTAACGGTTCAGCCCAGAGAACAGGGATGCTGTGTCACCCAGAACACTCAATAGTGGGTTTGGAGAAGGGGAAAGTATTCAGGGAACAAGGCCCTTGAATGTGAGTTCCCCTCTTCTACTGCAAGCAGGCCCTTTGTTCCCGAGATCCCTGTCTGGGCCACCAATAGAAGGAAGAATTGGCGTGGGGCAATGGGAAGAGTTAGGGTTTTGGAGTCAGGCTGTTTTGGGCCTGATCTTGCCATCTTGGTGGCATTGGGTAAGTTACTTAATTTCTCTGAACATCATTCCCTTTTTGGTAAAAATGGAATTAATAACAATGCCAAAGAGATAGGCTTCTTGTGAGGATGGAATGAGAAAGTGAATGTACAGTGATGAGCATGCAGTGGCTCCCATGACATGTGTCCTCAGTAAATGCCAGCTGTTGTTGAGCACCTTTCCGGGCTGGGTTCTAGGGATACAGAGACAAATAATAGCCAGTCTAAGGAGAAGGAGGGCACAGGAGGAAGTCATCCTAAAACACAACAGAAGGCAGTCTGCACACACCCTGGGAAGAAGGTATTTGTACTCCCATTTCATGAAGGGGAAGTTAAGGTTCATGGAGATGAAGGGACTTGCCCAGGGTCATACCTAGGCAACTATCTAGGCAGACAAGGATTCGTTTGTGTTTTCTAAAGCCCTGAAAGGACTCCACAAAGAGCTGGGGAAGCCAGTCTGGTGAGAGGGGGGACTGGTTCAGAGGGGCCTCGGGTTCCGGAGGGGTTTGGATTGGACCCTGCAGGCATTAGGGCCAGTCCGTTCTTCCTCCTTATTGTCTCTAGTCCATCCACTCTCTCTGTCTCCTCAGCCAGACTCTGGCCCAGTTTTGAGTCTTGAACTCTCTCCTGCTCTCCTAGAACAGCCACCTCACTGGTCTCCTCCCATTCTGGCCAACCACCAGTTTCTCTCAACAAAGTGGACTTTCTAAGCATCTGGTCGATCACATTGCTCCCCTGCTCAGCTCTGTTCAATAGTTCCCCATCACCCTCGGATGAAAAGCAAGTTCCTTGAAAAGTTTACAGGGACATATAGGATGGGACCCCTGCCTGACCCTCCAGCACCAGCATGTTCCAGTCCCGTGCACGTCTTTCAAGGGTGCACATACCCACACACACTGCACCCAAACTGCACCCAGCTCCTCAGTTCCTCCTCCACTTCAGGGCCTTTGCATACTGCTGTCCCCTCTACCTGGAGCACGCCCCCTCTTGTCCCCATGTAGGTGTTCCCTCCCTGGCAAGCCTTCCCAGAGCTACGAATAAGCCAGTATGGACTGCCATGGCCCCTTGCTTTTCCCCACCACAGCACATCTACCCCTGTGTTGAAATGCTGTCTTTGCTCATTTCTTCCCCCCCGCCCCCCCATTACAAACTCTTTGAGGGCAGAACTGCATCTCTCCTGCTCCCACTCTCTCCCAAGGCTTGATGCCGAGCAGGCCTTCTGTGTGTTTGTGGAATGAGTAAGGGGATGGGGGCCGGGTATCTTCTCCCGCCTTCCAGCCTGTGAGGGGGATGCCAGGCCCCCAGGTGCGATGGTGGGTCAGTGAGGGAGCGGGACCTTTTCAGGGAGTGATGGATGGTGTGGCTGGCCCTCACCGCTTCCAGCTGATGCATGAGTTTTAAGAACGGATGTGTGTGGCGGTTCTGATTACGCTCCAGTTTTTTAAGTGAGTCACGTTGATGATGGCCATCCTGCCCGTTGGGGCTGAGTCAGTTTAGTGAGAATTAATTACAGACAAGAAACCAGCTTGCAGCGCAGTTAATATCGGAATTCCCTGGAGTATGATGCAAATGCAGCCGTCAGTCCTGTCTTTGCTTGTCCTTCTCTCCCGCTCCCTGCCCACCCCATGTCTGTGGTGCGCAGGGAGGGCCTGGGCATCAGGATGATCGGATTCCGGTCTCGGCTTCCCCGTGACTCACTCTCCTTTTCTGTTAAATAAGGGCCCGGCAGTCCATCCATTAGCAAGCATTAAATCACTCCTTCTCTGACACATACACTCTGCCGGACTTGATAAACAGCTGAAAACAAAACAAATACGGCCCTGCTCTGAAAATGTCATGTCTAAAATGTAATCATAACTGCCTTCAGGACAGCACTTTACAGTTTCAAACATCAGGATGGACACCCAGCAGCCTCATGCTATACGGTCATCCCCATTTTACAGATGAGGAAACAGAGGCTCGGACAGGTTGCAGTTTGCACACAGTCATTCAGCTACTCTTGTGCTACAGTTAAGGCTTGAACCGGCCAATGAGAGAATATGTCGAAAGTCGTCTGTCAATCAGTTGCCCAAGCAAGAGGGGTTATTGTCCTCCTCAGGGGATGCCAGGGCTGAGAAGACTCTGCTGGACTTGGAGGCTGGGTCCTAAACATGGAGACTCACAAGGAAAGAATGGGAGGGCCCCCTTGCTCCCAGATCAACAGAGAAACCTCCCCTGCAGGTTCAGAATGATCCCGTGTCCTAGAGCCCTCTGTGGGCAGAAACAAGAACTAAATACCAGCTCACTCTAACCGCCCTCCCTACGTCGTCGCCCCCGCCCTCTTGTAATTCACACTCTCTCTGCCTTCTGAAACGTGCTTTCGGGGAGGGCTACGGCTGCTCAGATACAATGAGATTTGTTTCTAATTATAGTTCAAGCACGTGGCTTCCACGTAAGGACACACATGCCTTCAGCCCAGAGGATTTATCCATTAATGAAAAGACTCAGCCCCAAACGTTTCTGACCTTCGTGATGGGCTAGAGGTTTCCCCAGACCCTTGAGTTTTACCAGTCTGGGGCCCGTGAGGGCCAGCCTCGAGGGAACCAGCTCATCCTCCCTCCTTGGGCCTACAAGCTGGGGTGAGCCGCCCTCCCCTTGCCCTCCCTCGATTCCTGGCAGAGCAGGTTGCTGCCGCAGGAGGTCAGCACAGGACAGGATGAGGTGTTCAGGAAGTGAGACCTCTGTAACCTCCACATCTGCTATCCTGTGCGACAGCACAGGCAGCCTCTTTATAGACAATGGAGGGGCATGGATCTCCTGCCTTTCATGTTCCCTGGCTCATTCCCTGTCAGTCCCTTCCTCTCCCTCCCTCAGTCTCCTACTCTCACTCTCTCCTCATTTTTTTCTTTATCTCTTTCCACCTTTCTCTCTCTCTGCACCAACCCCACCTTCTGCCCTTTTTCCTAGCCTTCTCTTGTCACCACTGGATCTCCCCCTCTCCTGCATGCCTTTTCTGTGCGGGAGAAGACTGGAAAGACTTCTTGGAGGAAAGGCTGCCCATCCTCTCAGGCACTTTCCCTTTCTAGATCTCTACATAGAGGCTGTTCTAGCCATAAAGACTGTTCAGCAATGGAATTTACTGTCTTGCTCAGCAATGAGCTCCCTTGTCAGGGAGGCAGTTAAAAGAGGCAGAGCGACCTGAATGTTGTAAAAGAGATTTGACCTTCCTGATTTAGGCTGGACCACATGACCCTTAATACTGAGATTTTCCCAATCTGCAATTGCTCCATAATTCAGGTTCATTTCAGGATATCTCGTGTATTAAAAACTACAGACCTGAGACTCATGCAAAAGCAGTTGTATTTAAAGATAATATATTTTTGTTGTGAGAAAGTTTTTATTCTTTATCATTTGAATGTTTATTAAATTTAGTTTGATATTTAAAGTAATTAATTGTGATACAGAAATTTTAGAAAACAGACACAAGAAGAAGAAAAAAATTATTCCTAATTCCATACTCCTGACAACAGCAACAGCCACTGTTTTCATTTCACTCCATTTCCTTTTAGCTTTTCCCTTTGTTCATTTTTTACACAACCCTGTTCGGGTGAGAAGACAACTTTGTGTCCCTTCTTGATTTCTTAGCGCCAGGACGTGAACATGGTCACTATCTGCATCGTGGTTAGTGACTGCTTGACATGCATGGAGTGGATGCCTATGACGTCTTAAGACGTTTTGAAATGACACAGTGCATGAACCTCTTCAAAGACTGCTCATTGTTAAGAAAGACTTTATATTTCCTCAGAAAGGAACTACCCAACTTCTCACGCATCTTGTAAAAGAAGAGCATGCACCCAAGTTCCCACAAGAGAGGGGGTGGGATGAACCTGCTTTAAGCCCGATTCTGTGCTACGAGTTGCACTGGGTGCTCGTTAGGCATCGGTTACCTGTGGCCACAGGTGTGTTGTCAGCCCTGTGTCACAGGTGGGGATGCTGGGGTCTGAGACACCGGTTTTCTAGTAAGGTCCTAGCTGTCTGTCTGTAGGCCAGGGCTCCAAAGCTGCAAGGGAACTGCCAGGGCGGACGGGCTCAGTCCTGTCGACCCGTGGGTAACAGGCCTTTGGGGTTTCAGGATTTCCATGGAGCTGTTGTGAGGGCCTTGGATGAAATGGACCAAGAGGGCAAGGACACATTGGCCAGGGAGGAGCTGAGGCGTGGCCTGAGCGAACTCCCAGCCATCCTCAACCTTCATCAGGGGATCCTGGAGGAGCTGGGAGAGAGGCTGCTGCACTGGTGAGCAGTCCCCGGACTCCCGCCCCAACTTCTGTCGCTCTAGGGGGTTGGGGGCGGTTAAGAACCCCACCACGTGAAACGGTGTCTCCATTTGACAGATGTGGAAGTCGAGACATAAAGGTGTGTGGCCATGTGCCTAAAGTAAAACAAGTGTGGGAGGGTCAAGCTGGGGTCTTCAACCAGGGATGTGACTCCAGCTCCCACGTCCGGCACTGTGCTGGTCACAAGGCTGAGTTCTCGCTCTCCTGTCCCCTTCCCGGCTGCAGGGAGGGCCAACAGAAGGTGGCCGATGTCTTCCTGGCCCGGGAACAGGAGTTTGACCACCACGCCGCTCACATCCTGCAGTTTGACAGGTATCTAAGTCTGCTCGCTGAGAACTGCCTCCATTCTCCCCGGCTGGCAGCTGCTGTCCGTGAATTTGAGGTGGGTCCCTTGGTCCTCCGAGAACCTGCTGTAAGGAGACAGGGGTGGAGCTGGGTGGGTATGGCTAAAAGCAAATTGGCGGGGCCTCTCGGTCAGTCTGCAGCTGGGGGACAGAGGGGTGGAGAGGGTGATCCAGCCAGAGGAAGGACCCAGAAGATCCCCTGTTGGGACAGTCAGTGACCACTCAGTGAGCCCCAGCCACAGTGAGAATTTCAGGGACCCTTCTTCTTGGTCCCAGCAGAAAAGCACAAAGTAAGGTGGAGGCCCAGCCATTTGAGTGACAAAAGAAATGGCCACCAACTGGGGATCCAGTTATTGGGCAGAAAAACGCAGTGCTTTCTGCTATTACTAACACTAGGTGCACAGCTGGGACTGCGAGAGCCATATGGCTGAGTGTAGCACAGACTGAATTGTCACAGCAGGTGGTGCTCATCTGGGAGGGCTTCCTGGAGGAGGGGGAACTGGTTTGGAGATGGTGGAAGCTCAGTTTGGCCAGGAAGAGGTGTGGCTAGGACAGTGCAGGTGGGGATTCAGGAGCCCAGTTCCTGAAGGCCAGGGTCCCTGATGGAATTTTGTCCTCCCTGTCTCTTGGGAACAGCAGAGTCAGCAAGGAGGCGGCCAGAACGTGAAACACAGGCTGCTGCGGGTGGTTCAGCGCCTCTTCCAGTACCAAGTGCTCCTCACAGGTGGGCCCCATGGGAGGCAAGGTGCACTGAGACTGTGGGGAGGGAGGGCCCCTGAGGAGGGGGTGGGGTGATGATGGCAAGATGTGTGATGGTAACCTCCCACTCTGGCAGGAAGCGGGGTTGGGGGAGAGGACCGCTCTCAGTTCCTGCCTCCTGCCTCTCCAGAGGGACCAGACCCTGCCACCACCTTCTCTCCAGCTGAGCTTTGGACCCTCTGCTGCCATCTTGGGAGCCGCACTGCAGGGACCACCTCTTGTGTCTTCCTCCAACCTCACCTATCCTAAACACAAACTCACACGTTCCCGCATTCTTCATTTCCTCCCAGTCTTAGTGGGTGGCTGCTTTCCTGAAGCGGCTCTTACCAGGAAAGTGCCCCTTGTGGCCGAATCCGTGGCATTTCCCACCCGGGGCCTTCCGGCCCTCTCTGTGGCTTTGTCACTGGCCACCTCCTGCTTCTCCAGCCCATCCATCCTGGGACCTCTGTGACTCACTCTCTCCCCGGCCTCTCTCCGACTGCTCCGTCATCTCTGATAACAACCTTGCTTCTTCCACTGTCCCATACATGTTTGTGTCTCTTGGAAGTCAGTCCTCAGTCCTCTTTCTTTTCCTCTCTACAAATTCTTCCCAGGAAATGTCATCCCCTTTCCTCCCTCCACCTGCCAGAAACACACACACCTCTGCCCAGAGCTCCAGACCCATCTACTCGATTGCCTCGAGTAAGTGGACAAAGACCCCTCAGCCTGGGGAACCGACATTCCAATGGGGGAGATAGACACATACCTAGCGATACGCATGTACATCTACGTAGTGACCAAGGCCGTAAGAAAACTACATTAGAGCCAGGAGACAGAATTCATTCATCTAATTCAACACATACTGATTGGGCATCCCCTGTGCCCCAGGCCCTGTTATCTCTATGCTAGAGATATAGCAGTGAATTAAACAGCCAAACTTTTATAACACTGTGGAGCTTGTCCTCTAACAAACAAGTAAGGAAATAAAGATATTATTATATGTTGGTGATAAGAGTGCTGAAGGAAGATAAAGCAGGTGAACAGCGCTCTGATGAGACACAGCCCTCAGGAAAGATCACTCTGAGGAGGTAGCATTTCAGAGATTCTCGGCGAAGTGAGGACATGAGCCCTATGAAGATCTGGAAGAAGAAAGTGCAAGGTAGAAGGGATACAGAGTGCAAAGGCCCTGGGGTAAGAAGAAGCGTAGCATGTGCACGAAATAGCAGAAAGCCGGCACTGCCAGAATGAGTGAGTGACACGGAGAGGCAGCTGGAGCGAGGCCAGCCCGTGTTGGGCTTTGTGAATAAGAATGTGTTAAAACATCTCACTCTACTGTGTTGACAGTCATGGCTGTCTCCCCCCGACATGTGCTTCTCAGAGGCAGGCTCTCACCTTGTTTGTGTCTCTACCCTGAAGGCACGGCACAAAGTCAGGCCCACAGCAGTTGCTCATGAGAGAATGACCAATCGTGGTGGCAGTGGTGCTGGTGGCAGACCTGGAGGCCTGATTTTGTGGTGGTATCGTGGTGTGATGAGCTAAGAAGGGTGTCCGCCCTGTCCATTCTCTGGAAACTTTTCTTCCACTTCTGGAGAGAGAGGAGCCCCTTCTGTGGACAGGAGGGGCTGCCTCACCTGGGCAAACTGACTCCTGGCTCTTCTTCTGCCTGCAGACTATTTAAATAACCTTTCCCCGGACTCAGCTGAGTATGATAACACACAGGGTAAGTTCAGCATGAACCCCCGGGAGGGGGTGGGTGGGAATCACAGTTCTGTTTTGCCCCAACTCTAGATACTGCATCAGTTCTAGGCCCGGGATATAGTCCGCTCCCCACCAGCTGGGGGTGCAGTGACAGGAAGCTTCTAAGGCTTCTGACAGGGCTCTCCAGAATGGAGAACGGGCTCTGGTCCAGTCAGGAGGAGAAGGGGCAGTGCCACGTCGAAAACTTGATAGGAGGCAGTGTCACATCTAAAACACGCACCTGTGTCCCTGTTTCCTCCCAATTCTATGTGGCTGTCCATATGACCTGTCAAATGGTCAAATTACTGTTATGTGGCAAAGCTAGGGTTGGGCCTGTGACCTGACCCAGCCATGGGAAAAATTGGTGCCACCCATTTAGAAGGCCCTGAAAATGCAGTGATCTCAGAAGGTGGAGTGGGGAGGGAAGAAGACAGGCAAGAGGTGAGGATGGTGGCAACTAGACTGGCCCTCCCCAGAAGGCCCAGCTGTCTGCTCTGCTTCCCTCTTCAGGCGCGCTGACCCTCATCTCCAAAGTCACAGACCACGCCAACGAGAGCATGGAGCAAGGGGTAAGTCCAGCCTCCAGGCTCCTTCTGTGGGGTCCAGGTCCAGGACTCCCTCCTCCATGCCCAGGTCTGCCTGGGAGTACAACTTATGTACGATACACAGCATAGGTTTAAAGTGTACAGTTAAATAAGACTTGATGTTTGTGTGTACCTGTGAAACCATCTCCATAATTACAATGCTGAACATATCCATGGCCCCCAAAAGTTTCCTTGTACCCCTATATCATTCCTTATCCCCAACTCCCAGGCAGCCACTGGTTTGCTCTTTGTCACAATAGATTAATTTTCATTTTCTAGAATTTTATAAGATAGAATTATTCAACATGTACTCTTTTTTTTTTTTTTTTTTTTTTTTTTTTTTTTGTCTGCTTCTTTCTTCCTTATTGGATATGTGATGTACAGTTATTTCCCCCCAACCTATGGCTTTTCATTCTCTTCACAGAGTCTTAAGTTCTTAATTGTAATTTTAAAAAGCCCACTTTATTATTTTTTTATTTTTTATGGATCATGTTATAGCTAAGAAATCTTTGCATCACTCAAGTTTACAAAGTTTTTCTATTCTGGTCTTTATATTTTAGAAGTTTCCTAGTTTAAAATTTTATATTTAGGTCTCTTAATCCATTTTGAGTTTATATTTATATACTAGAGGCCCAGTGCATGGATTCATGCACTGGTGAAGTTCCTTGGCCTGGCCTGCAGGGATAGGGCTGAAACCAGCTCTCCAACATCCCCCAAGGGGTCCTGGATTGCAAGAGAGCACAGGCCAGGCTGAGGGACCCCACCAGTGCACGAATTCATGCACTAGACCTCTAGCATGCATATAAGATCTTTGGTTAATCTTTTCCTGCCCTTCCCCATCCCTGCTTCCCTCTGAGATTCATCAGTCTGTTCCATGCCTGTGCATTGAGCATCTGCCCCCTGGTGGTGAGTGCATGTCATAGCCCGGTCACATGGTTGCTTAGGCTTTTATATCTATAGATGGTATGAAATTTAGGTAAAATTCATGCTTTTGCATGTAAGTATCTAATTGTTCCAACACTATTTTTTAAAAAGACTGTCCTTGAACTTGAGCCTGCCTTAACCATCAGTCCAGATTTCCTTGTGCACATCATAACTACAACCGTACACATACTCTTGTATGAACGTGCATTTGTATGCTAACGTGGTCCTTATGTGATAACATAAGCTCATGTAGGGAACATTTTTCTCTATTCCTACATTTGGGTCTTTGTTTTTTTATAACTGTGAGATGTGTCATTCAATGTATGCATGGGGCTTGGGTTGGCACCAGTGCCCAACTTCAGTGTTAGACAGCATTGCCAGCAATTACAGCTCCTTCAAGGACTGATCAGAGGTTTGATCAGAGGACACATGCACCTGGCTTCTAGCTGCAGTTACTCAGATCAAGCCTGTGGAGTTTCCCTAGAAGAAAACTCCACATTGAGCTACAAGGTCAGGCTTTTGAGAATTGAAATCAAATTATCTATTAATTGCCTCTTCTCCACAGCATAGAAGTAAAATATCTCCCTCCAGTAGAGAGTGAGGAGACATGTACGAGTATGGACTCTACCATTTTCACCTTTTTTAAAATCCTCACTGGAGGATATTTTTTCCATTGATTTTTAGAAAGAGTGGAAGGGAGGGAGAAAAGGGTAGAGATAGACAGACAGTAGATGATAGAGATGATAGATAGATAGATAGATGATAGATAGATAGATAGATAGATAGATAGATAGATAGATTCAAAAAAAAATTCATGTGAGAGAGACACATCGATTGGTTGCCTCCCATATGCACCCTGACCTGGCCTGAGGATCTAACCTACAATTCAGTTACATGATCTTGACTGGGAATCAAACCTGTGACTTTTTGATGTGCAGGCTGATGCTCCAACCACCATGCCATGCCAGCCAGAGCTGCTCACCTTCATTTTTTAATAGACTTTATTTTTTACAAATTTTTTATTGAAGGTGTTCCAAATATAGGGTTCCAAATATAGGATGTTCCAAAAAATGTATACACACACTTTGAATAATTATAAAGGAAGTGTTTATTAAACTACATTTCATTTTCAAAATTAAGCTATCAGCTATTAAAGTGTGTAAAAATTTTTTGGGACACCCTGTATTTATAACAAAATTTGCTGTCCTGACAATTTTTAACCACATAGTTCAGGGGCATTAAGTACATTGACATCGTTGTGCAACCATCATCACCATCCATCTCCAGAATGTCTTTCACCATCTCCAACTAAAACTTTATACGTATTAAGCACTATCATCCCATTTCCCCTTCCCACAGTGCCTGGAAACTCCATTCTACTTTCTGAATAATAGTGTTTTTAAGACTTTAAATTTACCAGAAAATTTGAGAAGATAGTACAAAAGAGTTCTCATGGGTATTTGCTTTATATTTTGGGTTATAATTTCATACTGCTTTATTTATTTTACTTCTCAAATTGTTCCAGTATTTGGAGCCCTTTCAGTTGGTTCCTGTACCCCTTTTCCGTACCTCCATGCATATGTCTTTGAGTACTTTTTCTTTTTTTTAGCACATTCTTACTTTCTGGCACTGCAAGGTACTCCAGGATCATCTATTATATTTTCTGCCCTAGTCTTAGAATCATCCATTTCTCCAAGGCACCCTGGTTTCTTTTATAAATGTTATTGATTTTTTTTTTTTTACAGAGAGGAAGGGAGAGGGAATAGAGTTAGAAACATCGATGAGAGAGAGCCATTGATCAGCTGCCTCCTGCACACCCCCTACTGGGGATGTGCCCGCAACCAAGGTACCTGCTGTTGACCAGAATCCAACCTGAGACCTTTCAGTCCGCAGGCCCACGCTCTATCCATTGAGCCAAACCAGTTTCGGCAGCACCCTGGTTTCTTTAATGGTATTAGAAATCAAGATCTGGGCACTAGGTATGCTCATTGCTACTGGAATATTATTTCATTTAGGTCATCTTAGCTGACAGAGCAAAGAAATACAGTAGGTCCTTAGGTTACTTTGAAGATCCATTCCTACAGCATGCCGGAAGGCGATTTTCACTGTAAGTTGGCACCCACCTATATGTGCACTTACTTCACCCATATGGAGCACATACACAGCAATAATGAAGTGAAACAGTAAAAAAAAAAAAAAAAAAAAAAAAAAAAAATGAAAGATAACAATTCCTGACTTTCACTTATGGTAAAAAAAAAATAATAATAATTAAAAAACAAACAAACATAAAGCACATATGTACATATGTCGAAATGACGGAACTTTTTTTTTTTTTATAAATAAATGGGAGATGGCCACGTAACCATAAAATGACGTATGTCAAGTCCGATGTAACCCAAGGACTGTCTTATATGTGTATATACCAGCGAGCCACATGTGGCTCTTTGGCCCCTTGAGTGTGGCTCTTCCACAAAATACCATTTGCAGGCATGCACATACAGTGGCCCATGAACAAAATCGCTTTTCGGCCTGGGCGAGTCTATTTTGAAGAAGTGGTGTTAGAACACTCAAGGGCCAAAGAGCCGCATGTGGCTTGTGAGCCATGGTTTGCTGACCACTGGTATATACAGTTGACCCTTGAACAACATGGGGGCTAAGGGCACCAACTTTTTATGTGGTTAAAGTTCTGAGTATAATTACAATCAGCTTTCTGCATTCACAGATTCCCAACTGCACATTGACCCTTGAACAACATGGATTTGAACTGCATGGTTCAATGGGAAGAATTCATATAACAGTCTACATTAAGCTAAACATTAGTTCTTACTGATGTCTGCAATTCTGATCTTTTTAAAAAATATATATTTTATTGATATTTTACAGAGAGGAAGGGAGAGAGATAGAGAGCTAGAAACGTCAATGAGAGAGAAACATTGACCAGCTGCCTCCTGCACACCCCCTACCGGGGATGTGCTCGCAACCAATGTACATTCTCCTGACTGGAATCGAACCTGGGACCTTTCAGTCCGCAGACTGACGCTCTACCACTGAGCCAAACCGGTTTCAGCTGCAATTCTAATCTTTACTGCATCCATGGATCATTCCCTCGCTTATCTGTAAATTTCCACACAAAAATGAAAAACCTAGTTCCCATCATTCATCATCCATGTACTTAATTGGTCAGTTTACCAATTCTTGAAAGATATTTTTCCTGAATATAGAAATCTGAATTGACCACTTTTTCTTTCAGTACTTTAAAAATGCCACTCCACTGTCCTATGGCCTGCATAGTTTCTGATTTGAAATCTGCTGTAATGGTGGTATTTCTCTTTCTTATGTAATGTGTTTCTTTATTCTAGCTGCCTTCAAGATCTTTTCTTTAAATTTGACTTTTAGAAGTTTGACTATGATATCTAAGTTTGTGTGATTTTAGGAGCTATGGTGCTTCCTAGATCCGTGATTTGTTGTGATTAACTAATTCCACTTTTTAAATTAATTTATCTTTCACTTACAGTTGACATACAATATTATGTTTCAGGTGGTCATTCGTTACTTTTGGAAATTTCTGTTGGTTGCTCTTTTATTTTATTTCCCCCCAGCACTATTTTTTTTCTCTTTGTGTTTCAGTTTGGTTAATCTCTGCTTACCTAACTCCAAGTTCATTGATTTCTATTCCTCGTGTGCAGTTTGTTGCTAAACCCATCAAAGGAATTCTCCATATGTGACGCCATATTTTTCATTTTAATATTTCCATTTGACTATTGTATAGTTTCCATTTCTGCTAAAATTCTCTATCTGTTCATGCATGCTGTCCTTCTTTTCCACTAGCTCCTTGAACATATTAATCATATTTACTCTGTAGTTCCTGTTCTCATTATGGTTTTATTTGAATGCTTTACCACTTGAATATTAGTTGGGGTTCTTTCTGGCTTTTTTTGTGTGTGTTTATTATAGTGTTTGGTTGAATTTCAAACTTTATGTGTAGAGACTGAGGGAAATATCTATCCCCAGAGGTGGATGTGCCTATTATTATTATTATTATTACTTTGTCATGCTGTTAAGGGCTCGAGGAGTTGGGTCAATCCAGGAAATGAATTGGGTTCGGGTTTTTTGTCACCATTGTCACCTTCAGCACCCCACAGATTTCATTCTCCTCTAGAAGGGGACTGTGGTTACCTGGTACTGTTTGTGGGGCCTAAAATGCCAGAGTTTTTCTTATATTCCTCCTGCCTTGTCAGCTTTTAGCCTCTCCCCATGCTCTTGCTCCTTCTTGAGGAAGCTACTGTTTCCTGTTACTCAGTGCTAGGCTCATAAACCGTGGCTCTTCAGGACAAGCTTCAGTCTTAAGCAGGGCCTCTCAGCATTCCTGCCCCTCCCCTGCATGGCAGCCATGTTCCTGTGGTAGGCCTTGGAGGTTTCTGCCCTGTATTATTGTACCATCCTGGACCCAAGGAGTTATGCCCCCCTCTCCTTGGGACAGACAGCATTTGTTTTACCACCAAGGGCAGGGAGCCTGTTCTTCCTGGCCCCCTGCCCTCCCCCACTCTTCCTGTGAGCACTTGGTGGAAACTTCTGGAAAAGAGCGTGTAGATCTTTCTCGTGTCTGGGCCTCTGTGTTATTCTGAACTGCCCCACCAGCCCACACTTGCCTTTTAAGAAACCGTTAACATTTCAGCTGCTTTCTGTTGTGTGCCAACCACCTCTTCCCTCCCGCGCGTCACCAAAGGCACCACGGTTCTATAATATGTCGGTTCTATCTCTGTGGAGGGGCTTGTCCGCCTTTGGAATGTCATTCATTTGGTTGCCTTGTGACCTCAGCTCTCCAAGAAGCCTAAGACGGTTTACAGTTTTGTAGATTGACTGTTTTTGTTTTTGTTTTCTCACTGTTATGGTAGGGCGTTGTTTTCTTGCAGCCTTCTACATCATCGGTGGAAATGGAACAACGATCAAACATTTCTAATGTGTAGAATTTTATGCCCAAAACTATGAACCGTGTCAAGGCCTTTTCAGGACAATTTCTCTGCACACAACTTTTACCTCATTAGTTGACTTTAGAACCTGATCCTGTTCTAGGTTCAAGGGGCACCTGCTTATTACTTCTGGAATTATGGGGTGCTGGGCAGAGGGGAAAAGGGATGTCCCATTATATATTGTGGATGACCCAGTGGGGGACTGATAGGAGTTCTCAAGCAGGCACACTACCTTTATTTCAAGGAATATAGACCCATTTTTTTCTCCCCAAGGGGTGAATTTTCTTGGTTACTGTTCCTCTGGGGCCACACCCTGGTCTGTAATCCCAGAGAGACAGACTGGCCTTGGGTATCTGTCATCTCTGGATTACTGAAGTCTGGATGCCCTAGGCCTTATGGGAGACACAGGCTTAGAGTAGGTGCAGTGGCCCGAAGACAAATGGCATGTTGGAAGGCAAAGCAAGGCCAAGAGACCATTGCCATGGTGTGCAGAAAGGAGACAGTGTCAGACCTCAGGCCCAGAAGGACTAGCCTGATTATGGGCAGTCCACACACAGCATCCTGCAGACCCAGGCTCAGGCCGCAGACCCGACCCTGACGGGAGGTCAGATTTGGAGCAAGGTCCTTCTGGGCTCCATTTTTCTCCTCTGAAGCAGAAGCCATACACCACCCCTTACAGAGGCGATAAGACCCCTTGAAGGGGTCCTGACCGTCTCTCCCTCACCCCACCCCACCCACAGGAAAACCTGCAGAAGCTTGTCCACATCGAGCACAGCGTTCGTGGCCAAGGGGATCTCCTCCAGCCAGGAAGGGTGAGTGCCACCGCCACCATGGGCAGGGGCAAGGGCGTACTGGCAGCAGGCGGGCGAGGCTCTGATAAGCCCCATTGTTCAGCTGGGCTGGCCCCAGACAGGCCTGGCTGCAGGTGCTGTTTACCCGAGGAGGAGGGAGGGCAGGGCTGAGCTCACAGGGCCCATGGACTGCCTCCCCTGGGGTTTTCCACTCTCACGGCCTTTAAAGAAACAGTGCCATTTGGGTCCCGTGTTCCCCGTGGTTCTCCTCACCTCTAAGAAGAAGCGACACCAAGTATTTTTAGGTTAGTCCATCATTGCTGAGAAATCAGGAACACCAACTCTCAAGAGCCCCAACACGGCATTTAAAAAAACACACACATTTTTCAGAAGGCAAATTTATCAACTTCTTTAAATTTTTTATTTTATTTAAAAAATATATATTTTATTGATTTTTTTTTTTTTTACAGAAAGGAAGAGAGAGGGATAGAGAGCTAGAAACATCAATGAGAGAATCATTGATCAGCTGCCTCCTGCACACCCCTCCACTGGGGATGTGCCTGCAACCAAGATACATGCCCCTGACCGGAATTGAACCCGGGACCTTTCAGTCTGCAGGCTGACGCCCTATCCACTGAGCCAAATCAGTTTCAGCTAAATTTTTTATTTTTATTAATTTCAGAGAGGAAGGGAGGGGGAAAGGGAAGTAGAAACATCAATGATAAGAGAAAATCATTGATTACCTGCCTACTACATACTCCCTGCTGGGGATCGAGCCTGCAACCTGGGCACGTACCCTGACAGATAATTGAACCGTGACCTCCTGGTTCATATGTCAACGCTCAACCACTGAGCCATGCCAGCTGAATAATTTATCCACTTTTAAGCTTCCAATGGAAAACATAAAACTCAGCTCAAAAATAGTAAAAAATGTGTTCATCACCTATTACAGTTGATTAAGGACAAAGAGACAAAGAATTGAGATATGGTGTTCAAATTTTACTCAAAATTAGCAGAGCTTTCATCACTAGTCTGAGATTCTACAAAACATTGCATCTATTAGTATGTTCCAGAATTTCAAGGGGGATATACCAACTGTTCATGCAGCTGTTTTAGCAAACCTTCCATGGCTTTGTTCTGGATGGACTTGTGGCAGCAAACCAGGGTGAGAGTCACTGTTTGGACCACTCGGGGGCTTGGTGTAATTCAAGGTGGATGTTCCTGAAACGCCAAGCGGTCTGTCTCCAGAGCTGCTGGAGCATACACAGAGCATCTTGCTCTTTAAAAAAAAAAAAAAAATTAAAATTTTACTGATATTAGAGTGAGAGAGAGAAACATTGATTTGTTGTTCTACTTATTTATACATTCATTAGTTGATTCTTGTATGTACCCTACCTAACCGAGGATCAAACCCACAACCTTGGTCTATCAGGACGATGCTCTAACCAACTCAGCTTCTTGGCCAGGGCCCAGAGCATCTCTCCTGGGCTGGGATCCCCCCCCCCCGCCCCCCGGAGCTGCTCTCTGGTCTTCCAGGAGCATCATAACTTCAGTTTCCCACTCAAGGGCCTCCCACTCTTCTCGAGGGCATCAGCCTGACCACCGATGTCTGCTTCTCTCCCCACAGGAGTTTCTGAAGGAAGGGACACTGATGAAAGTAACAGGGAAAAACAGACGCCCCCGGCACCTGTTCCTGGTAAGTACCCGCCCCCCTTCCCCCCCAACCAAGCCCTGGGACTGTCAAGTTCTGTGGAATTTCTAGGACCAGTATCCGAGGACAACTGGAAGTCAGCGGAGAAGACTAGAACAGAGCGAAATCTGTAGGTTGAGGATTATTCTGTGTGCTGGGCTTCCCAGAAAGCTTGAGAGTTTAACCCTTGGGAATCACCACCCATCCCTTATTTATTTATTTATTTATTTATTTATTTATTTATTTATTTATGTAAATTTTCTCCCCATCCCTCATTTATGATTTCAGCGATTTTGATGGGATGGTACCAAAATTTAAACATTCTAAAACCAGGAATAAATGTCCAACTGTTTTTATTGAATGCATGAGGAAACAGATCCAGAAAAGAGTTGACTTGGCCAGATCTCTCAGCAAGTTGGTAGCAGAACCCTGGGGGAACCAAAGCTGCACCCTGAGTCCAACACTCTCCACTGTGCACAAGACAGTATATAATGTAACATTTTTGGTGACTTATAGCTACGGTTTGGCATACCAGGGAATGTCCAGGCCTAGGATGTAGTAACATCAACCTCAGTGGCTGCTAAGCTACAAGCAGCTCTTTGTCCCTCCTACCAGCTGTCTCTTACCCGCTCCCATGAGAATCCCTCACTCTGGCTGGTTTGTGCTGTGGTGCAGGGGAGAAATTTGGCCACAGGCAAGAGATTAGAACCCCAGCAGGAACTTTGAAAGGTGCCTTTGAAAGTGGATAGTTCAGAGTGGATAATTCATTGGATAGTTTGAGTTCTCAAAAGGATTGCCAAGTCTCCGCAGATGCTTGAGTTCCTTTCTCCAGGTAGTTTGTTGAACTCTGCATATACCCCTGGTGACAGGAGCTCATTGCCTATTATGACACTCATTAATTCTGCAACTCCTTATCCATCTCCTTCTGTGGGCCAAGATCTGTGAGAATATATAGACATGGCCCCTGCCCTCTTGTGGATCTTGGAGTCCAGTGAGGAAAGTCATCCTTTGTTCCATATTAGAGTCTAAATATTTGAAAACTCCTTCTATTGAGCAGAAGTTCATACCCTTGAATTTTGGAGATCTTTGTGGCAATGAGCTGGTTGGATATAGATCTGATACTTAGCCCCTCTGTAACCCTTTAAATCACACACATGTCTGAGCCTCGATTTCCCACAGGGAAAGTGGAAATGCCGGGCAGTTTGGGGGAATTAAATGAGGCCCATAGAAGAAGCTTGTTTGGTAATAATTTCCACCCTTCCATTTGACACTTATCCTGTAGGACACAGGCCCTTCCTCTGCCCAGAGCTATAGAGTCATCAGCTCCCTCTGCCCCAGCACAGCTCACACCTGGGTCCCAAGGCTTTGCTTCTCCAGAATGAAAAATGGAGACCTCCAGGATGGTGATGAGGAATACTGGCTTTGGAGTCAGACAGACTGGATTCTCATGCCAGCTCTGACTTACTGGCTGTGCAACCCATGGCAGGTCCTGTTCCTTCTCTGAGCTTCAGTGTCCTTCTCTCCACAAGGAGGGAAGTAGTTCCTCCTGTACCTGAAGGAAGTGCATGAAGGAAGTGGAGGGAGCTCCTCCATCTTGATTCCCATCTGGCCAGTCCCTTTCACAGGGACTTTGAATGCCAGGCACAGACACAGTGTCCTTCCTTGCTCCTCCCCTCTCCCACTTTCCACCCTCCCCCTCCTCCCACTTCTCTTTCCCTTTCCCATGCTCCCTCCAGCATCTAGTTGACTCTTCTTCATAGCCTCTCTGTCACTCAGACATGATGTCTGGTCTGGGTCTCCCTGGTTCCCTGTCATTTTTAGTCTTCCTACCCTCACCCCCCACCCCGCCCCACAGCCTGAACCCAGGTCCCCTTCTCTCTCTCAGCACAGGACCTTCTACTAAGTAGGTGTTAGTAACATCCTCTTAGCAGTGGTTCTCAACCTTTCTAATGCCAAGACCCTTTAATACTGTGTTGACCCCAACCATAAAATTATTTTTGTTGCAACTTCATAACTGTAATTTTGCTACTGTTATTTAATTGTAATGTAAATATATGGGTTTCCCGATGATCTTAGGCTTTACAGCAGTGGTTCTCAACCTGTGGGTTGCCTAAGACCGTGGTCGGCAAACTGCAGCTCGAGAGCCACATGCGGCTCTTTGGTCCCTTGAGTGTGGCTCTTCCACAGAATACCTCTGCCTGGGCGAGTCTGTTTTGAAGATAGTGGCATTAGAAGAAGTTTAAGTTTTAAAAATTTGGCTCTCAAAAGAAATTTCAATCGTTGTACTGTTGATATTTGGCTCTGTTGACTAATGAGTTTGCTGACCACTGGCCTAAGACCATCAGAAAACACAGATATTTACATTACAATTCATAACAGTAGCAAAATTACAGTTATGAAGTAGCAACAAAAATAATTTTATGGTCGGGGTCAGCACAACATGAGGAACTGTATTAAAGGGCCACGGCATTAGGAAGGTTGAGAACCACTGCTCCAGAGAGATAGACAGCAAGAGGACGGGCAGACAGGTTCTTGAGCCAGGGAGCAGCACCATGGCGAACACAGTAAGGAACAACTTTTATTCCTCGTAAGGTGCAGGTTTCACAAAATAATCTTCACTGCACAATAAAGTCAGGGCATCTGCCCACTGACACAGTTTTTCAGTGATGCTATGGATGGCCCGCGTCCCATCCAGTCCCAAGAGATGGGTGGTACTTGTTGTGAGAAATCCGCACTTTCTCCTCCATGAAGAATTTCTCTTCCTTCCTCCAAATTGGGGCTGTAAAACACATGCTTTGCAGAAGAAAGGAGAACGGTGGGCAATTAGGAGGCAGGCTGGTCCTGAACCCTGTCGGTAAAACCTCAGGGTGCTAATGGCAGTTGCCATGGCAGCAGGTGCTTAAGGGGCAGTCAGAAAAGGCTGGGACTACTCCAGTGAGTGACACAGGCAGGTTCCTCAGAATAGGCGAATGACCGAGGCTCTGTATGAGGTTTGGTCACTGTCCCTGGGTGGCCACCCCCAGCACACCACACCACACCTCAATGCACTGGAGGCACACTTATTTATTCACAACCCAGCTCTGCCACCTTAGGCACATTATCTAACCAATCCGTGACTCCGTTTCTCCTGTCCGTGGCTGCTCTGGAGCTATAATGGCAAAGTTGAATAGTCGTCACAGAGACCGTATGGCCCATAGAGACTTAACTATTTATTATCTTGCCTGTTCAAACGTTTGCTGGCCCTGTTCTCCAGCTCCAGTTTGAGACAGGGAGGCCCAGAGACAGGAAGGGTTTGCCTGAGGTTGCACAGCAGCTCAGTGTGTCGGCCAAGCCTCTGAGAGTCCCATGAAGAACTAGTGAGAGGAAAACTCATCCCTTCTGTCCCCTCCTCGGACTCTGTCCGCAAGAAAGGGAAGTGTTAACCCTGAGCTCTCGCCCTGTTTCAGGCTTTAGATGCCACGCTCTGCTCAGTGCCTAATGTACTTGGCTCCCATGCACAGAGGGCTCACTCCGGGCCGTTCTCTCTCGGCATCCGTAATGAGGTAGGGGCAGGGAGGAAGCTGAGGCTCAGAGAGGGAAACAGCTCGTCCATAGTCACACAGCAGCTACAGAGGGAGAGTCAGGGTTGACAGCCCACAGACCACCTGGAGTGTGAGGTGGTTTTTTCAAACTAAACCTTTTGGCCAAACAAACAGATTTCTAAGGAGGTGAAGTGACTTTCATTATGTTTCTTCCTATCTGCCTTGCATGGGGATGGGGAGCTTTAGTTGTTCATTCAACAGATATTAAATGAACACCTACTATGTCACTGGAGCTCCCTATCCTCAAGGATCTTCCTCCCTCCCTTCCTCTCTCCCTTTCTTCCCTCCCTCTCTCCCTCCCTCCCCTCTTTCCTTAAATATGCTTCACAGAGGTTTGATTTATACAGAGTAAGAGACATCCTTCTTACGTGTCGATGCCAAAGTATATTGACAAATCTGTATCATCGTGTACTGCCACTTGCATCAAGATCTAGAACATTCCAGCCCTCCAGAAAGCCCCCCTGTGCTCCTTAGCAGTCACTTCCCCCACCCCTGCCCCAGACAACCACGGGCCTGATTTCTGTCACAAATGATTCCTTTTGCCTGATCTGGAGCTTCGTGTGAATGTTACCGAGCAGTGTGTTCTCTGTATCTGGCTTCTTTTCGATCAGCGTGCTTTGGGCTTCATCCGTGTCATTGTGTGTATCGTCAGTTTGTTCTTTTCGATTGCTGTGTGGTATTCCATAGTGTAGATGCACCACAGTTTGCTAATGCACCCACCTGTTGATAGCTGGATTGTTTCCACTATTTGACTATTGCAAATAATGCCTGTACGCACGTCCCTGTCCCTGACTTTCTGTGGGCACTGCATGAATTCCCCTGGAGTCTTCACCTAGGAGTGGAACTGTGGGGAAGGTGCTCCCACGTTAGGCCACGGCGGTTCGGCTCTCTCGCGGGGGCCAGTGGGGAATGCCGGATGCCTGTGCACCCGGTGCTCAGTGACCCTCAGGACAGAAGCCCAGCACAGCCTTCTGGGACCAAGCCTTGTGTAATGAGGTTTCCTTCTCCCCAGATGAGCGACATGCTCCTGTACACATATCCCCAGAAGGATGGGAAGTACCGGCTGAAGAGCACGTTGGCCGTGGCCAGCATGAAGGTAAATGCTTGATGCTAGGCATCCTGGGGTGGTCAGGGGAAACCCCAGGTGAGCAGGGGACAGTATCCCTGCTACTGGGAGCTCACAGGCCACCTGGGAAGAGCGGGTCCAGAGGAACAGTGCTATGTGGAGGGTTACAGCAGGATTATGCTATAGCTAGGCCAGGGATGGGGTGGGCGTGGGGAGGAAGGGAGGAACGATGAGGAGGGCTTCCTGGAGGAAGGGAGCTGAGTCCCTTAGAGAGCAGAATATGTGGACAGATGGGGAAGGGTGCTTTAGGAGGAAAGAAATGTGTAAGCAAAGGCTTGGAAGGAGGAAACAAGTATGTGTGTGGTGAATTTTTTTAATCGTGGTAAAATGTACATACAAATTACCACTGTAACCGTTTTTAAGTACACAGTTCAGTGGCATTAAGTGCATTCACATTGTTTTGCAACCATGACCACCATTCATCTTCCCAAACTGAAACTTCGACCCACCAAGCACTAACTTCCCATTCCCACTCCTTTTTCTCTCTTTATGGTTTTTTTTAATATGTTAAATTTTGTTGTTGTGAATCCTCCTCACCCGAGGATATTTTCCCATTGATTTTTAGGGAGAGTGGAGGAGAGAGGGAAAGACAGAGAGAAACATTGATGTAAGAGAAACACATCAATTGGTTGCCTCTTGCTCAAGCCCTGACCAGGGCCCCGCTGAGGAGGAGCCTATAACCAAGGTACGGGCCCTTAACCGGAATCGAACCCAGGACCCTTTGGTCCGCAGGCCGACACTCTATTCACTGAGTACACCGGCTAGTGCTATATTAAATTTTTTATTATTTAAGTTTCAGGTTTACAATGTTATAACTTATATACTAAGAAGTGATCATCCTCAAAAGTCTAGTTACAACCCATCACCACAGTGGACCCCCTTCATTCTTTTGCCCCTCCCCCCCCAAGTCCCCTTATCCTCTGGTAATTGTCAATATTTCCTCCGTATCTGAGTTTATTATTATTTTTGTTTGTCTTTTGACTCCACATGGAGTGAAATCATACATTATTTGTCTTTCTCCTCCTAATTTATTCCCAGTATACCTTCAAGGTCCATTCATGTTATTACAAACTAAAGGCCCAGCGCATGAAATCCATGCATGGGGTTGGGGGCTCCTCAGCCCAGCCTGCACCTACTCCAATCCGGGACCCCTCAGGGGATCTCCCTGATGGGGCCTAAACTGGCAATCAGACATGCCTCTCGCAATCTGGGACCGCTGGCTCCTAACTCCTCTGCCTGCCTGCCTGCTCATCCCTAATTGCTCCCCTGCTAGCCTAATTGCCCCTAACCATCTCTGCTTTGGCCCAGAATTCCCTCCTTAAGAAAAAGGGTCACAGGCACCTGGTACCTGGGCTTCCCTCCCTCTGGCTGGCCGCAGCCGCAGGTGACCGTAGGCAGGCGGCTTGTCCCTTTCCCAGGTGGCAGCCACAGCCACTAATGCCCGAGAAGCCACCCGCCCCGGCTTTGTCACGAAGGACATGGGGAGACGTCCAGTCTAATGAGCGTATTACCCGTTCATTAGTATAGATGGCAAGATTTCATTCTTTTTATGGCTGAGTAATAGTCCATTATATAAATGAACCACATCTTCATTCATCTATCAATGGGCACTTAGGTTGTTCCCATATCTTGGCTATTATAAGTAATGCTGCAGTGAACATAGAAGTGCATATATATTTTTTGAATTAGTGTTTTTATTCAGATAAAGGGAATCAAGTAGAATAGCTGGACTATATGGTAGTTCTATTCTTAATTTTTTTTTTTTGAGGCATCTCCATACTGTTTCCCATAGTGGCTGTGGGCTGCAACCTATCACCGATTGATAATCCCACTAACAGTGTACTAGTACATGGGTTCCTGCTTTGGCAGCTCATAGAAGTGTAAGCACACAGTATTTGTCTTTTGCAAGTGGCTTACTTCACTTAACATTATGTCCTCAAGGTTCATCCATGCTGTAACATGTATTGGAATTCCCTTACTTTTTGTTTGAATAATAGTCCATTGTACATATTACACCACCTTTTGTTTGTCCCTTCCCTCATGGCTGGACAGTTGGGTTGCTTCCACCTTTTGACTATGGTAAATGATACTGCTCTATGCTCAATATCTGTTCAAGTGGCAGATGTTTTTTAAACAAATGTAAGAAAGATGCCAGCCTCACTGGATAGTCTTGTGAGTAAAGACAGAGAGACAAGACGGAAAGGGGCCTCGTCATGTGCGGCTTGACACAGTGTAACTCCATCCCATAGACAAGGATAGCTGGGAGCTGATGGAGATGCTTGAGGGCTTAACAGGCAGGAGGTTTTAGGAAGTTAGTTCTGTCAGTGGGGTCAGACAGGGAACACTGAGGTGGGAGAATGCAGCGGGAGGTGCAGAGGGGAGGGGAACCGTTAGAGGCATTGTGGGGCCTCTCTCCCTCCTGGAAGCTCTTTTCATGAGGAAGGGGAAGCAGACAGCACCTTCTCAGCAGAGAGGTTTGTTCTCTTTTGAACCAAAGGATCCACTGAGGAGCCTATTGGGCAAGGGAGTGGGAGAGATGGTCACGGAGCAGGTATTTGTACAGCAGGATGTCTGGGCCCTGAGAGGGAAGCTCCATGGCATTCCTGGGGGTGGGCAGTGGCCAAGGACCATAGAGTCAGAGCCAGAGTTGGCAGCCAGGCCCCACCACACGCGCGCGCGCGCGCGCACACACACACACACACACACACACACACACACACTATCTGCCATGTCTGTAAACATCAGAGGAAACTCAGGCTCAGAGAGGAACAGTAGCAGGACCAGAGGAAAAATCGAGTCTATGGTTGCCCCTTCATGCCCCACACCCCTCCACTGAGGGTGCCTCTATTGGTTTCCAGGTGAGCCGCCCTGTGATGGAGAAAGTGCCCTACGCCCTAAAGATTGAGACTCCTGACTCCTGCCTGACTCTGTCTGCAAGGTATGGGGAGGAGGAAGGAGGGAAGGCCTGGGGACGGGTGCGAGGGAGGGAAGGGACAGAGTTTTCCAGGTGGGAAAGTTTGGAATAAAAAGTGTTGGATGCGTCTTTGGTTTCATTTTGGTACTAGAGGCCCGATGCACGAAATTTGTGCAAGGGGCTTGGCCCCCATCACCATGGCTTCATCAGGAAGGTTGTCTGGAAGGACGTCCAGTCTAATTAGCATATTATGCTTTTATTACTATAGATCCTTTGCATCAAAGAACTTCTTTTCGGTGTTTCTTAACCATTTTCGAACCACAGGCTACTTTGAGAATCTGATAAAACTGGCTTCTCTTCCCCAAAATAAATGTGCACGTACATAAAATTTTACATAGAACTTTGGGGGTTTCTAAAGCCCTTTTTCTTAAAATATAACAATACCTCATGGTTGTAAAACTCGACAGATTATCTGGTCTTTATAACAACACGAAAAGTTAGGGCGAGTAAAGAATGCATTGTGCGCCTTACTTAATAAATGACCATTACTTTCAGGCTTTCATGTCTGGAGAGAATAAACAATGAGCGAGCACTCCCTGTTTTGGGGTTCAGCCTTTCTCTCAAAACCCTGTTGTTGTTGTTTTCCTCCAGACCCTCAGGATGCTGAGGCAGTGAAAGAGGTTCACCTCCCTCACCCTCCACATTCCCCTCTCCCCCACCCCTGCTTTCCGGGCAAGGCCAGCTCCAGCTCAGAAACCAGGGAGGGGTGGCTCCGCCAGGACCTCCCTGGGCATGGTGGGTGGACAGGTTCCCTCTCAGGTGTGCATGGCCCAGGGCTGGCAGCCGTGTCCAGTGTGGGGTGGAGGTTCTGGTGTGGCGTGGGACGTGCACACACTGACCCACACGCCGCCCCATAGATGTGTTTGGTCGTTAAGCCTTTATCAGCCGCTCCTCGTGGCCAGGTTCTGTGCTGAGGACACACAGGCTCAGGGTAGGGGAGCCCACGTTCTGGGTGGGACTTACGAACTGGTTACAATACAGAACGAAACTGCTGGAAGAATTCATAGCGGTGATGGCAAGAGTACCCTGCATGGGGCACCTGCTGCGTCTCAGGCCCCTCCTCGGACCCTCATCATCACCCTCGGAGGGGAGCCTGGCAGTTCCTCCCATGCCTGGGGAGTTGAGGCCTGGAGACAGGTCACACAGCCCACGTGAGGCAAAACGGGGGCTCAAATGCAGGACTGTGTGATCCCGAGTGCTTTTCCACTGCCGTCTACTGCCTGAGGGGTTAAAAAAAAAAAAAAAAGCCTTAGAAATTCCAAGGAGTGACCCCACCTGCTGGAGAAAGGGGAGGCTGCCTCCAAGAGGTGATGCCTGGGTGGGGTTCCCCGGCCTCTTCTCCCCTCACCTCCAGGTAAAGTCAGAGACCTGGGGAGACCCAGGGTGTGGTTTCTGTTTGTCCAACCATCAGGTGAGGGTGGTGGCAGGCTAGGCTCAGCTCTTCGGATGGGGCTGCCCATCTCTCTCGGGCGGGGACACTGCCCTTTGGCCAGTGGACTCAAGAAGCCCGTCACTGACAGGCCGGTCACCCTCCTGCTAACCCAGACGCTCCACACCGCAGCCTCCGGGGTCAGCGGACCCACACATCTCCTTTTAGGGACTTGGCGTCTGGCTGGCCGCCACCCTTCCTCCCTCCCAGGCCAAACTGGTCCCTCTCTGGTGAGCCCGCAGACTTTAGTGTAGGATGGGAGCGCCACCTGGTGGGCCCTGCAAGAACAAGGCAGCTCACAGCCCAGTCACCACCTTCCAGGCCAGAATGCGGGAGGTCAGCTTGTGGGATGAGTGTCTAGGAAGTGATGTGAGAAACGGGGGGCGGTTGGAGAGACTGGGACCTTGGCCGTTTCCAGCTTCTATCTACCTTCTCCCCTGCCCCCTGCCCGACCATACCTCCTAAAGTGTGGGCCCCTCAGAGCTTCCCTCCCTGAAACCCCTTGCTTCGCTGTTGACAAAGTCCATCTACATCCCACATGTCATCTCATCCCCACAAGAGCCTTGGGAGTTCGAGGAGAAGGATTGACACTCCTTTGCTGCAAGTGAAGAAGGGGCCTGGGGGACCACAGCGTGCCCTGCCGCCCTGCTAGCGGGTGGAGGTGCTGAGGTGTAAGCCTAGGCCTGTCTGGCAGGCGGCCCGCACTTGCTGGTGGGATCTTAGATGCCAAGAGGTTCAGGCATGTGGGATGGGCAGTGGGCTGCCCAGGACTTGGTCCCCTCGTGCAATCGCTAACCCCGGTTTGTGTCCACAGCTCCTGTGCAGAGCGGGACGAGTGGCATGGCTGTCTGAGCAGAGCCCTCCCTGAGGACTACAAGGCCCAGGCTCTGGCTGCCTTCCACCACAGCGTGGAGGTGAGCGGAGGCCCTGGCACACCAGCCACACACCTAGGAAGACTTGCCGCTCTTTGCATCATGGCACTGGCTCTTCTTCCTTCTCCCACCTCTCCTGCCGTATTCTCACCAGCTCAGGGCAGTCACTGTGCAACCCCAACCTGGAGCACAGCCCCTCCCGTTGGCTGTTTCTAACCCAAGATCAGCTTCCTGAAGGATACGGGATGGGGAGGGGGAGGCTACAGAATTAGAAGGCACCCCCTGTCCACCACACACCATCCAGCTTGGTCTCCTGACCACACTGCTTGGCCCCATTCTGTTGCTCTAGATACGAGAGAGGTTGGGGGTCAGCCTGGGGGAGAGGCCCCCCACTCTGGTGCCTGTCACACATGTCATGATGTGCATGAACTGCGGCTGCGACTTCTCCCTCACCCTGAGGCGCCATCACTGCCACGCCTGTGGCAAGGTGAGTGATTACGTTGGGGGGAATGTGTGCATGGGGGTGGCATGGGGTGGGGATTCAGGGACACCCAGCAGCTGCTGCGTGCCAGCCCAGAGAGGGGAGTATTCACACCAGGCCTGGGAGGTAGTTAATGCCCGTTTTACTTGGCATCCTCAAACCATGGTGCCCAAGCCCAGGCCCCTTCCATAGTACCACTGTGCTTCCTAAAGAACATCATAGCATATGTGGTTATTGTCCTCATAAAAAAAAAAAAAAGTATTTAAAAATTTTTTTAAAAAATAACTCTACGCAGCTGCACTGGGAGGGCAAGGTGACCTGGCACAGTCCCTGCAGGAGCTGGGGCTGTTGGCAGAGGGGTGAGGGTGCTGGCCCTAACCGTGTGCTGAAACGATGAGAACTGCTCCGACACGCTTCCCCACCCGGGCCCGCAGATCGTGTGCAGGAACTGTTCGCGAAACAAGTACCCGCTGAAGTACCTCAAGGACCGGATGGCCAAGGTCTGCGACGGCTGCTATGGGGAGCTGAAGAAGAGGGGCGGGGACGTCCCCGGCCTGATGAGAGGTGACCCGGGCAACCTCGTGGCTTCTGCCTGGCCTGTGGTTGGCGCCCAAAACCACTTTCCCGGGAGGAACCAGGGGTTTAAACTCACACCTGGGGCACCATTTCCCAAAACACCGGTCCATGAAAAACGGACAGGTGCTCCCAGCAGGAGAGCTCCGTGGGCAGCTGTGTGGGAAGCACTGGGTCAGTGCCCTCGGGGACGGGGATGGTACACAGAGAGCCCCCGGCAGCCTCTTTTCCTCTCGAGAGCTCTGTGCAGGCTGTTCTCTGTGGGCTCCCTTGGGGATAAGGACTGTGAGACGGGGAACAGAGTTGAGGGTCAGGGAAGGGCGGAGGGCTCGCTGGTAAAGGCGCCCGCAGAAGCTGGGCTGGCTCTTGAAGACCGAGCTCAGGGGACAGGCTTTGCCCAAGCAGGGTTGGGCTGGAGGGAGAGCACGTGTGGTCTGGGCCTCAACCCAGAGAGTTCTCTGGGGCACGGAGCACAGCCCAGCCCCTGCCTCCCGGAGACCTGGAGAAGCCTTCCCTCCCTGCCCCCAGGGCCTTCATGTCAGCGGAAGGGAGGTGGTTGCCCATTTTTCTGGTCACACTAAGACCCCACGGCGAGGCTGGTTCCCACCGCGGGAAGGACCGGGAGCTCCAATTGACAGGGATTGGCGTGCCCGTCCACACGGACGCTTACCTCCCTTCCCCCGTGACTTGTCTCCATTACAGAGAGGCCAGTGAGCATGAGCTTCCCTCTGTCCTCCCCCCGCTTCTCGAGCAGCTCCTTCTCGTCCGTCTTCCACAGCATCCACCCTTCCACCTTCAAGAAGCAGAAGAAAGTCCCTTCGGCCCTGACCGAGGTGAGGCAGGAGGGGCTCCCTGCGTGGGCACCTCGGGATCCGGACGGTGCCCGGTCCTCCTCTGGGAACGGTGTCAGGCCCCTTTCCCCTCCCTGACCGGGCTCTTTGGGACAGAGAGGACCCCTCGCGGGAGACAGACTCACCTAACAAGGGGAGGCCTGTCTCCCGGGCATGACTGAGAAGATGCCCGCCTGGTGGCAGAGGGCAGGGCTTAGAGCAGTGGTAGAGGGTGTTAGGCGACATCTTTCACATCCTTCTCTCTGACTTTCTGGTCCAACTCTTTCTCTCCTTTCCTTTTTCTCTCTCCTGCCCCATACCTAGACCTAGTCGGAGAGCACTGCACAGACCACGGGGGCTTTCCCAACCAGAGCAGCTACAGCGCTCGCTCAGGTCTCCCGTAGCCGGCGGTGCCATCCTCTCCCTGGGGGTCCCGCACAAGCTCAGGTTCCCCTGGAAGCTGCAGCTCTTTGCGGGAAACCTCAGAATTGGCTAAACTCCATTCTATCCTGCAAATAGGACTAGACTTTACACGTACAGATTGTCATCACAATCACAAACAAATGTGTGCCCATGAACATACAAGCTGTTGAAAGAAGTGTGACTAGCTGTTTCCAATTTTTTTCATTAATATTCATTAGCAAGAAGCAGGTGGCAAGGATTTAAAAGTGTTAGGGGATGAGAAATTTAAACGGGTACAGTTCTATCCATTAACTTCATTCCTTCTGCATATTAAAAACCTTGGGATTAACACATACATGGTGTAAAAAAAAAAATTTTTTTTTCCAAAAAAGCATGAAGGAATATATGATGAAAGTAAGTTTCTCTCCCTCTCCGAACTCCTTCGGTCCTACCCATCCCAGGGGTAACCACCATCAAATCTCTCATGGATCCTTCCAGAAGTTTTAATGCATCTACATAATGAATTATGTACAATGATAGACCCTCTTTTTTACCCAAAGGATAACATATTATACTGAATCTTCATTTAATTTCTCTTAGATATTATTCCCCATTTGCTCAGCCATGTAAATCTCACATTCTACATCATATGGTTATCCCATCACTTATTTAACTAGTCCCTTTCCAGAAAACCAGGAAAGTTCACCCTGTTACTTCTCCCACTGTGCTGGTGGTTTGCATGAGTCAAGCTCATTGAACCTGAGTGTTCCATGGGGGCAGAGTTTGAGAACCAATGCTCTTACCTAGAAGGTATCAGGCTGCTCTGATTCTGTTGCTACATGGTTCTGACCTAGCCAGCCCCTTGCTAATTTTCCCCCACAGTGACAACCGTTTTATTATTTTTTAAAATATATTTTATTGATTTTCCACAGAGAGGAAGGGAGAGGGGTAGAAAACTAGAAACGTCGATGAGAAACATCGACCAGCTGCCTCCTGCACACCCGCTACTGGCAATGTACCCACAACTAAGGTGCATGCCCTTGACCGGAATCGAACTTGGAACCCTTCAGTCCGCAGACCAACGCTCTATCCACTGAGCCAAACCGGTTTCGGCAACAACCGTTTTATTATCCAGCGAAGTCTGCACTCTGTGGGATCTGCAGTAGCCCCAGGAGAAATGTGCCCCAGTCTCCTGCTGTGCTCTCCCCTCCCCGCACCTCACCTGCAGGACCTGTTCCCCGTGAGAAAGTCTCCAGAAAGCTGCCTCCCAAGCATCCGTCAGAAAGGGAGGCTGCAGAATTTGTCCACACTGCCTTTCTCTCTCTGAGATGTTTCAGCACAGCCAGTGTGTGTGGGAAAATGAGGGAGGAGGCGGGGGATGGTGGGGGAGCCCATATCTGATACAGAAGGACTGTGATGGGCAGGTTTCTTTCCTGTGCTTTTCCAAACAGCCAGAACTGGTGGCTCCCATGCCCTATACTAGCGGTCCGTGGGGTCCAAAAGGTTGGCGACTGCTGCCCTACACTGACGTTTGTTGACCTCTGGAGTATTTGCTGAGAGATTCAAGTTCTTACTCTCTTCAACGAAATAGGGATTTGACCTTTGGTGGACCTCTCCATTCCTTTGAGCCTCGGTTTCCCCATCTGTACAGTGAGAAAGTCAAACGAGATTATTTCCTAACCTGGCCACATTGCTCTAACAGTAAGGTTACTATTTATGGAGCAGTTACAATGGGTCAGTCACTGTAGGTCATCTGTTTTATGTCATTTAATTTCAATTTAACTAGTAAGGAAACTGAGACTTAGAGGAAGTAAGTGAATTGCACAGCATGAAACACCTGGGCTGGAACCCTAAGCTGGTATTACTCCACGCCTGTGTTCTTTTTTTTTTTTTTTTTTTAAGCCTGTATTCTTAAACCCCACATAAAGTCTGTCCGACAGACGACTCATAAGAACAGGAGGAGCTAACAGATCCCATTAGGCAAGAGATAATAAAACCTTTAGGTAAACAGTACAAAGAGGGTCCCTCCTTAAGTACAAGAAATCAATAAGCTGAGAACTGTAAGAATCCGTTTTAGAAGGAAGAAAACCTTTCCTCTAGGTATCAGTTCTGTAATGTGGGGATTTGGGGCTTGGGGAGAAGGACCAGGGTATCTGAAACACCACTAGAGGGCAGCACTCCTGAAGGCAGTTTTTCGATGCTGGGGTCTTCTCAGTAAAGCCTGTGTTTCAAACCAAGGTACTGTTTTACTGTCTTTGAGGGGCTGGATGGATCCTGAGACCTCATCCATGTCTCAGACTTCAAAGCAGAATAAACAAGGTGCTCGCTGTTTTGCATGTTATTTTGGCTCTGTCTGAAATGTGCCCACCACCCCCTGGTGCCGACCACTGTGCTTCCCTCCCGCCAGGTGGCCGCCTCCGGAGAGGGCTCCACCATCAGTGGCTATCTCAGCCGGTGCAAGAAAGGCAAGAGGCACTGGAAGAAGCTCTGGTTTGTCATCAAAGGCAAAGTGCTCTACACCTACATGGCCAGTGAGGTAGTGGTGGTTCGCGCTTCCTCTTCCCTCTCCTGTGAAGGCTTGAAGGTTAAGCTCAAGCCTGAGCATATCCATGTGGGGTGTGCACCACACCCTGTCACCTGAGGGCAGTGTGAGGCCTGGATGCTGATCCCAATTCCCATATCAGACAAGTCTCTGTTGAGCAATGTCATGTGCTGAGCATTGCTGTGGACACACAACTGCGTGTCCATCCCAGACCTAAGGAACCTGCCACTTCTGTGTGGGAGTTAAGGCAGTACAGCATGCAGACCTGTGCACCAAAGTATCGGACTGCCACAGGCCCAGCATCCTGTACGAGCCAGCACTCTGTAAGAGAAAGCGGCTTTCTGCTCTCCACTTTGCTCAGGACCAAGTCCAACAGGTTGAAGGAAACTACCACACACTCTGTGCAGTTCTTTTGACAGGGAACTGCATTGCCTCACAGTAACTCTTCTGTTATGTAAAACTTGTTCATATTTTTATAGAACACCTCACATGTACATCTTCTAAAATAAAGGAGAGAGGGCCCTGGAAGCCAAGCCTCCTTCCGGAGCAGATAGGTAGGGGCTGTGTTTCTGCAGCAGGAGGCTGTCTGGTCTGACCCACGCTGAACTGTAGGATAATGGGAGAGATTTCCATGTCCAGGCCCCACCCTCTGGTAGCTTCCAATGGCTAAACAAATCCGCTTTGAAAGTGGGACTTAAATGCCTTCTGCCCAGCAGCAGAGGGTGGGTGTCTCACCCCGTGAGGATATGCCCAGAGCACAGAAATGGCCCCTTTCCCTGACCACAGATGCAGAGGCTGGTGAGTGAACAAAAGCAGCTTCCTTCTTCAGGACCTAAAGCTTCCCTCACAAAGGACCCCTCTGCCTTGACGGCTGCAGTCCACACTGCCCTCCAGTGTTCCAGAGGCAAACAGGGACACAGACATACAGAGGGGACCCACTGGGCCGGAGGGACTTGGGGTGCTATGTGAGCTGGGCATTCCTCGAGGGGGTCTTTCACGCGCATGTCCTCAGATGCGGCTTTCTATGCCGGGGAGAGTTTTGATCTTTCCAGGACAAACTGAGATGTGATGCACTATCCTCTGCAGCCCAAGGCAGCATCTACCTGAGCAGGCATTCCACAGGACACCACAAGGGTTCTCTGGAAACAGGGTTCGAGGGGAACCCTGGGTAGGCAGTGAGTGGGACTTCCTCACAGTCATACTTCTGAAATCTCTCATTTGTGAGGCCATGTCATGGATCTCTTAAGACGTGAGGGTTTCCCAAGCTGGGCGGACCAGAGACATTCCTCATAGAGCATCACATGGAAGTGTCATTGCACAGCACACACATTGGGAAGAAATGCTGGCTTGGATGAACAGAGGCTAGTGATAATTAAATAACTACCAAAGGGAAGGTGAGTCCTATCTAAAAAGGGAAAACCCAAGGTCTTTAGGTTCTGAGCAACAGTTGTCATGGAAGTAACAGCAGAAGTTGACTTTAAAAGACGAATCTAATTGAAATATGCTTCAAATGTAGATTCTTCCAGAGAGGAACTTGTATAATTTCTCAAGGAGCTTATTCTAGTGATAGGACCAGCTTTAAATTTCATCAAAGAAAAAAAGTTTGATAATGTGGATCACTGATTCTACCACTGTGAACACGTCATGTACCCTGAACTGACCAAAGTTAGTGAAACTTGCTATTCAGTGATAGTCCTGGGAGAAAGTGAATTCATTAATATAAAGGCATCTTTTTTCTTTTTTCTAACATTTTATTATTTATCAATATAAAAAATTTCAAACATAAATAGTGAAAGAATTTTCAGTGAACTGTCATAAATCCATGGACTAGATTATACAATTAACATTTTACTGTACTTCTTTGATCAAGTATCTGTTTATTCATTCATCCCTCTTCCTTTTTATTTTTTGATGCTTTTCAAAATGTACTTCCCCTTATTTGTAATTTTCATTTAAGGTACCATTTACATATAATGAAGTACACAAATAAGATGCTGTTTAATGTTTTGATCATGCATCCACCTATAAATCCCCACCTCATCCCTGTCCCAGAGGCAGCACCTGCCTGATTTTTTTTTCACCACAGATACATTTTGCCTCCTTTAGCTCTTCATATAAATGGAGTCACGGTGACGTCTTCCACTCAGCCCGATGTTTTTGAGATTCAGTCATGTCATACATAGCAATAGGTCATTCCTTTTTATGGCCAAAGTAATCTTCCATTTTGTGAATATGCCAGTTTGTTTATCCGTCCACCAGTTGAAGGACATTTAGGTCGTTTCCAGTTTTGGAAAATTATCAATAAAGCCACTTTAAACTTTTACATACAGTTTTTTTGTGTGAAATAGGTTTTTATTTCACCTTGGATAAATACCTAGGCTTGGAATTCTTGGATCATAGAAACTTAGGTGTTTATAAGAAACAATCAGACCTCCAAAATGCTGTACCAGTGTACACTCCCCTCAACAAGTATGTAAATATGGGAGTTCAGGTTGCTCCACACATTGGTATTATCAGTTTCTAACTTTGGCCATTCTGGTGAAGGTATAGTATCTCACTGTGGTTTTAATTTATATTCTCCTAACGACTGATATTTTTTATGTGCTTATTGGTCATGTGTATATTTCACTTTGAGAAGTGCCTGTTTAGATCTCTTGCCCATTTTCTAAAGTAGGTTGTCTTCTTGTTCTTGAGTTACAGTTCTTTATATATCTTGGATACCAATCTTTTGTCAGAGAAATGTTTTTTTAATATCCTGTCTGTGGCTTGCCTGTTCATTTTCTGAACAAATGAATGAATGAATCTTTTGGTGAACAGAAGTTTCTGTCTTCAATGAAATCTACATTTTCCTTTATGGCTATTGTTTTCTGTCCTAAGGAACTTTTGTCTATTGAAAGTAACAGTTATTCCCCTGTATTTTCTTCTGAAAACATTACTGTTTTAGCTTTTACATTTAGGTCTATTTCAAATTAATTTTTGTGTATGGTGTGATGTAGATATTGATGTTCCTTTTTTTCCCATTCAGTTGTTCTAACACCATTTGTTGATTTTCCTTTCCCTATTGGATTATTTGGATGTCTTTGTCACAAAATGACAGAATAAGTGTGGGTCTACTTCTGGGTTCTCTATTATGTTTCAAATATATTTTTACCAATACCATACTGTCTTAATTACTGTAACTTTATAGTAAGCCTTTAAGTCAGGTTGTGTCAGTCTTCCAACTTTGTTCTTTTGGTATGTTTTGGGTATTCTAGGTATTTTGTGTTTCCGCATAAACTTTTCAATTTCTATTTTAAAAAGCATGCTGTGATTATGAGAGAGATTGAATCTATAGATCAATTTGGTGAGAACTGGCATCTTAACAATATTGGCATCTTATAATTCATGAACGTGGTATTATTTAGTTCTTTAATTTCTCCTTAATGTCTTGTTTTTAGTATAAAGGACTTAAGAGTTGTGTTCTTACATTTCTATTAACTTTATACCTAAATATTTTTTATGCAATTTTGAATATAATTTATTTCTAGTTGTAAATAATTTTTTAATGACTATCCTTACTAAATTCATTATTAGTTATAGTTGTTTTGTAATCAGTCGTGTCTTTGTAAGTGCAGATAGTTTTACTTCTTCCTTTCTGATCTTTTAGGGTTTTTTTCTGCCTTAATTCAGTGGCTAGGACCTACACAATAGTGTTGAATTTCATTAGTAAGAGTGAATGCCCTCTTGCCTTGTTTCCAGTCTTAGGGGAAAACATTCGGTATGTCACTATTAAATACGATGTTAGCTATAGGTATTTTATAGGTTCCCTTTGTCAGATTAAGGAAGTTCCCTTCTACTGCTAGCTTTTGCTGAAGTGTTTGTTTGTTTTATCATGGATGGATGTTGAATTTTGTCAAATGAGTTTACTGATCTAGCAATCTTTGAAAATTGATTCCCCTTTGCACATAAAATCTCCTCCCCTCCTTTATCTTCCCACAACCATTCTAATGTGCTTAATTATATCTCATTTACGTATATGTGGTTTAATAAAATTGTATTATGAACATGTATTTTTACATAAATGTGTGTATATAAAAGTATCTTTATATATTAAAGCTCTTTCTTTTTCTAAGCACTATGATCTTAAGATCCATCTAAGTTCTCTGGGTGCATCTCATTGCATGGTTAGCACCTTTATAGCGTAGAGGCCCTGGGTGCTCCATCCTGAAGCCCTGCGAGTGAGGGCATGGGCAATGAGTACAGGATATGCTACCAGAAGTAACTCGAGAAAACCAGCTGAATCACTAATTGGATCAGTGGGAAGGGGATTAGAAGGGAATCATGAGTCCAGATTCTGGCTCTGCCCTTTACATGCTGTGTGATCTTTGGATCTCTGGAAGTTACTTATCATCTCTGAGACTCAGTTTCTTCTTAGAATGGAGGTGACATTTTTTGTGATTGTTGCGAAGATTAAACAAGATAATGTGAAGGTGAATATGCCTTGGTCCTAATAGGCTGTCACAAAATGATGCTTCTTTTCCTCCTTATGTTTGATCTTGTCAAGAAGCGGGAGTGAAAAGTATGTGTGCAGTTATTTCCTGTGTTCAAGGCATGTCCCAACAGAAAGGCTCATCATGCACCTCAGATGGGAGGTATCAGTGAACGCTAAGCTGTCAGCTGTGTATAGTGCCATATTTAATACCCGTTTTTCCTCTGTCCTCTGCAGGACACAGTGGCCATGGAGAGCATGCCCCTGCTAGGGTTCACCATTGCCCCAGAAAAGGAGGAGGGCAGCAGCGAAGTAGGACCTGTTTTTCACCTTTACCACAAGAAAACCTTATTTTATAGCTTCAAAGCAGAGGATACCAGTTCAGCGCAGAGGTACCAAAATAACGAGTCATGTGTTTCCTTGCCTCTCATTCAGAAGAAAACAAGTTATTACCTAGGATTTTGGTTTCTGTTCTCCTCCAGCCATCCTATCCCGTCAAGTCCCTTTGGGCCACAGCAGAGCATCGGAACTGCCTACTCTTAGTTGTGCGATTTTATTTTTTAATATATTTTATTGATTTTTTACAGAGAGGAAGGGAGAGAGATAGCCAGAAACGTCGATGAGAGAGAAACATCGACCAGCCGCCTCCTGCACACCCTCTACTGGGGATGTCCCCGCAACCAACGTACATGCCCCTGACCGGAATCGAACCCGGGACCCCTCAGTCCGCAGACCGACGCTCTACCACTGAGCCAAACTGGCTTTGGCTTATTTTATTTTTTATAATCTTCACCGAGGATATTTTTCCCGTTGATTTTCAGAGAGTGGAAAAAAATATTCCATCGATTTTCAGAGTGTGGGAGGGAAGAAAGGAGGAACTAAGTGAGAAAGAGAAAAACATCAATGTGAGAGTGTCACATAGATTGGTTGCCTCCCGTACATGCCCAATCGGAGTGGGGCCAAGGAATCAAACCCTTCGGGCCACAAGCCGACGCTCTAACCACTGAGGGACAACGGCCAGGGCAGTTGTGCAATTTTTAAAGATTATTATGATTTATTTGTACAGGCATGCATTGATTCAGCAAACCTTTGTGCTGTATTCCAGGCCTTTTGCTAAATGCTGGGAAAACAAATAAATATGAATATGACATGGTCCGTGACCTTAGGCTAATACTAATAAAGTCTAGTCAGAGTCACAGGCACAGTCACAACACCAGTGTCTCTTCTCTGTTTTACAGGTGGGTCGAGGCCATGGAAGATGCTAGTGTGTTATAGCAGTTACCAAGCATGTGGACTCAGAATAAACTCTTAGGTTGATATGTGCACCCACCCAGAAGCCAATCCGTGTCGCTACTCATCTGCACACACTTTGGATTCAGCATGGGGGCCTGGCCTTTTCTACTGGAAACCCCTCACTCAAAACCTTCATAGGTGGAGCCCTTACGGGATATTTATGGACAGTTCCTCTTCTGTCTTCCCATTTGCCCCCCTGTTCCATCCCAGCATAAATTGTTTCCTTACCCAAATAGTGAGTAAAAATTCAGTAACTTGAAGACATGGAAACCCATAGAAAAGTACATTTTAGAAACGCAGGCTTTTTAGTAGAAACAGGCTTTTTCAATTTTTATTCCTAGTAAACATCGTCACCATTCATATTGTTGATTTCGGTGCCTCAGGTGAAAACAAGAAACAATCAGTAAATAACAACTACTCTCATCAAAAGCACTTTATTGTTTTACTGAGCTACAACCTCCAGTTTCATGTTTCCAAGTGATTTACTTACGTAAACAGCAGATGGAGTTCTGTGGACTGATTCGCCATCAGTAACGCAACAAGGGTGTACAGAAAATGGACTTGTGCAAACCTGGCTGTGGCGACACTCGGAGGGAAGCGCTCTCCTAACCGCGGACGGTGCGTGTCGCTGGATAGGAAGGCGAGGATTTCCTCCTCCAGCTGATCCTGTGACCTGTATCCTGACACAATGACTTAGCAAAGGACAGACTCCCTCCTTTCCACAGCATCCTCATCACTACACCAGTGCTGGAAGCTCAGCTGCTGGCAGATTCGGCCCTTGCCCTGGAGGTCACTGCAAACCCTCCAAAGAGACAGGGTCTGCTTTAATTTATTGTGTGCCTTCCTGAATCTTACCCCATATGAGCTGACAGTGTTATGTTTATGAAAACCTGTTCTTATTTCGACATGGTAATCCTTTCTGTATTACTGAAACCCTGAGAGAGAAAAAAAGGGAAAATAAGATCTGAGCAGCAGGTGAATGCGTGGTCTTGGCCAATGGCTCTGGACACAGGGAGGGAGCCCAGAAGTAGTGGCTTGAAGATATATATCCTCTAGGTGCCTGGGGCTCAGTCACCTCCCGCTATGACTGCTGCTCATTATGTGGGAAGTATTTTTACATAAAGCAAATTGGGGGGTGGAGGGATGGGTGGGATTTCCTGTTATTCTCATCAAAATAAAAAGTGCGTATCCCCATCCTCCTGCTGCCCATCCCCTAAAAAAAAAAAAAAAAAGGCATTTGCTGACAAACCTTTTGTAAAACCATCACAAGGAGTTATTGACAGTAAATATTTTCAGGGGAATTTTTTTTTTCTAGTTGATAATTCTTTTTAAATGTTTGCATTAAATATTTAAAGGTTGTAACTAAGTGATTAGACAGGACTTCTTATTAAATTTTCAGAGCCTAATTCCAGTGCAATCATTTTCATCTTCAGACATTTGAATGGGCCTTTTAGACCCTCCGAGTTAAAAAACAAAACAAAAAAACAAAAACCACCACAGCAGGACTTCAGCACCAGGCAGTGGAAGCTTCACCAACCTGCTGTGCACCACCACCCATGGTCAGCTTCTCGCAGAATTGTATCTGGAAGTCATTTGAAGGCCTTTTTTTAAAAAAAAAAAAAAACACCATATAATACCCTATTTCTGATACTCTGTAAAGCAGAGGTAATAGGGCTTTTGTTTTTCATTGAATTAGTTGCCTTAATAAATAAAATAAAATAAAATAAAACAGCAGCGGGGCAATAGATCAAATACACTCAATGGGTTTTGTAGAAGGAAGTAGCAGGGGCCACCATGCTCCTCCCTAGCTCATGTGTGATTGGACAAGGACACGCCTGTTTTTACCCGTCCTTCCTATGGTTCTTTGTATACTCATTTAAGCCCCTTCCTCCTCGTCACCTTTACTCCTGTTCCTTCCCTGACCTTCTCTTCCTCTGGCCCATTTTACATGTCTGTGCCACCTGGCTTCCCTTGGGACGCGCCCAAATGAAGCTGCACAGGTGGCCGGAGGGTGCTCCTTCCCAGGGTCTGGCAGCTGGAGGAAGGGGCAGCTTCACCACAGGAAGTAATGTTGCCTGAGGCCCCCCACGGCATCTGCTTTGCTCCCTGGGCACAACACAGCCCCTTCACTGGACACATCCAGCAAAGGCTGTTAACTTGAGAGGAAGCAGTATTCTGCCAAGTTGTGGCTCAGAAATGGGAACTCGGCCCTGAACAAGTGACTCACTACAGAAGCTCTCGGGCTCGGTGTTTTCACTGGTCACACAGAGCCCATTCCAGCTTCCCAGAGTGTTCAGGGGATCAAGTGTAAACTGAATGTTTGCGACAGTGCTGAAGACCATAAACCTGTGGCATGGCATTGTTATACAAAGTGGAAATGTGGTGGTGGGACCTGCTCTGTGACAATATAATACAAAATGAAGACAGCCCTAGCCTGTTTGCTCAGTGGATAGAGCATCGGCCTGCGAACTGAAAGGTCCCTGGTTTGATTCCAGTCAAGGGTACATGCCCAGGTTGTGGGCTCAATCCCCAGTGAGGACCTCCCCCTCTTCCTTTCTCTCTGAACTCAATAAAAATATATTTTAAAAAATGAAGACAATATGCAAAAAAGGACCCTCCTTCTTATCCATGAAAATGGCAAGAGCGAGCCCAGGCTGGGTGGCTCAGTGGGTTAGAGCATCAGCCTGTACACTAAAAGGTTGCAGGTTTGATTCCAATCAGGGCACATACCTATGCAGTCAGGTACAACCCGGGGCACATATGCCAGGCAACCAATTGATGTTTCTCTCTCACATCAATGTGTTTATTTCTCCCCTTCCCCCCTTCCTCTCTCTCAAAAAATCAGTAAGAACAAATCGGTGGTTAAGGATTAAAAAAGAATAAAACGGTAAGAGAGAAACCTGGCCTGGTGTGGGTAGCATGAAGTCCTTTCTTCATCGTGTCTTTTCTTCCCTCCGTTTGCTTTTAGTGACCTCTCCTTGAGCTCTTCACATGTGGGTCAGGAAAACACAGACCTCTGCAGGGTTGGCCTCTGCCTGCTTCTCAGAATCAGTAAAATTTTATAAAACCCAAGGTTTTACTGAAAGCTGGCAGCACTAACATCATAGTGGCTTACCACCTTCCTTGCAGACTGAATGTGTCTTTCCAGCCTGGATTAGTAAGTAGGAAGAATTCTGTTCATTATTGCTAATACAATACACCCAAGAAACACGGTAGTGTCCAAGGATACTGAGTTCCTAGGTCCTAGTAATATTTCTTTTACGTATCAAAAATATGTTCTGAATTGTTCTGGCCAGACATTCCCCCTTGGATGCAGCCTAGTCCTGTGTGCAAGTGTGGAGTGAGGAGCTGGTGCTCATGTTGACCTTTGGGCACGCACCATGCCAGCCAGTGTGGAGGACCTGAGAGCTCTGCTAAGGCCACTGAAGGATAAGATGGTTAAAGTCTCCTCTTCATCTACCTCAGTCTCTCATTTCATTGACAATGTAAATGTCGTCTCTGAACACTGAAGCCCTACATGGAGACTGAGGTGAACTGGGCTGGGAGTGGTAGGAGCAGGCTGGAGCCCAAGTTTTTTTCTGCTACAGGGCAAAGTAACATGCTGGAAGATTCTGTGAGTTGATTTGGCCTGTGATTTGCAGCTTCTGGGACCAGGTAAGCTTCTGTGCTTCCTTGCATTAATGGTCAGTTGTCTATTTTCAAGAGCAAGTGAAAGGAAACCAACCTCACGCTAATTTAAAACAATTACAAAACTAGCTCAGTAAGAGGAGGTGCCAAAGCAGGGCAGGTTCAGGGTTAGAGAGTATCCCCAAGAATCAAGCTCTTTGGGTTTCTCTGACCTTCCCATTGTCGGCTTGATTCCTGGGCTGGTTCTCAAGAGGCTGACTGGAGACTGCCACTGATGGCTGGGGCTGCAGGCTTGTCTTTTCACAGCCACCATGGAGGGAGAGCTTAGGTCGCTGGAGCTAGCTTTTTCTTAGGCCCGATAAGCTGCTTCAGGACCACACGTGTGCCAGCCCAGCCCTCTCCTGAGACAATCACTAATTCCACTCTATACAAACAAGTGACTGCCCTTCTAGCCTGGCAGGAGTCAGGAAATTTTTCTCTGGAAAAAACAAGAACTAGAAGAGAAACAGGCCCCCACCCCAACACACACACAATCTGGATTCAGCTTTTTAAGACATGGGCTCCTGTTTCCAGCCTGTCAAATTCCCTCTCTATGACCGATAAAAATTTAGGTCCTTTAGATTACCTGCCAGACCCACCCCCTCCCCGCTCCCCATCTGCCCTCACCTTAGGGATCTGAGTTTTCATTTCAGCCCTAAGCAATGCAGAACCTTTAAAGAATTGTAGAAGTGAAGGGGCTTTGGAATGGCTCTTTTTCAGAATACTCAAGCAGCAGAAGAAAGAAAGAAAAAGGGGCAGGACAGAGGAAGGGAAGAAGGAAGCTGTGTGGAGGCAGCTGGTCCACCTTTGACTAGTTAGGAAACCATTGCAGTGGGACAGATAAAACCTAAACTAAGGAACAGTGGGGGAGGGGCCAGTTGTGAACAGAGAACCTAGAGGCTTTTGTGTTAAGATACTCAGTTCTGACAGTGTGCCCAGGGCACCCTGAAGGTCAAAAGCCACAGGGTACCGCCCCATCTCTCCCACCCAAGGTGAAGGACAGAATCCAAAGCAAAGTGCAGAAAAGGCTTTTCCAAGGAAACTTTAGCTTCAAGGTGCATGTCCTGACCTGTAATGAATAGGCTGTGAGGTTGAAATAATCTCATTAAAAAACTCAAGGAATGCCACTTTTAGACGCTGAGTGAAAGGCCTTTAAAAAACATGAAGTCTTAACACCAGGTCTGAGAAGTCTTTGAATTTTGAATACCTGTTGCTGGTATTGGAAGATCCAGCAGTTGATTACTGGTGGTAGTTAGATATGAGTTTTTCATATATGTTGTTATTAAAGGCTGACTACCCACTTTGAGTGATTTTCC